CTTGGGATAAAGGTAGGCAATCTCCTCTCATTCAATTTACAGGATGAAAACCTGCTAGAGGGTCTGTTTTGACTTAACAGCAATGACCTTGGGTTTGGTTCTTCCCATAAGGAAGGTCCCTAGTGGTACAAACCATTCGGTGGTTAAAACCTCACTGGTGCTGAGGAAGAAGTTGATTGAAAATCTGCTTTTCTAAAGATTACAGGGGAAAAAAAATCTTATGGAACTAGTCTATTCTATAATGCATGAGTTAGAAATGACTTGAAGAAAATAGGTCTGGTCTTTGTCTCTTTATTCTTACCTTGGAGAATATGAAGGGGTTGTAGCATGAAGGCAAACAACTGAATAAAGAAGTTACTCATATTGGAATTTGAAGAGTAGCTCTCTATCTGTGCTCCTCTAGTGTCCATAGGGTTTTCACGTAATTGTGCTCATGTGAAATATATACCTGGACCAGGTGACTGTTTATACCTATTCAATTTGTGTGCTGACCAAATTACTAGAGAAGCTGAACTCTTATGAAGAGGAATATAGCATCAGGACTGGCGGCAGACTCATCAATAACCTGTGGCTGATGACACGACCTTGCTTGCAGAAAGTGAGGAGTACTTGAAGTAGTTGCAGAAAATAAAAAAAAATGAAAACTTCAGTATGGATTGCATGTCAATGTCAAGGAAACAAAGATTATTACCACAAGATTGATAGGCAAGATGATGGTGGATTGTGAAGAGACAGAAGCTGTCAACTACTTCATCTTACTTGGATCCACAGTTAACACCCTTGGTACCAGCAGTCAGGAAATACTGCACTGGGAAAATCTGCAGTTAAGGGGCTTCTCCAAATTACTGAAGAGTGAAGTGCACCTGATCCAGGCTGTAGTCTTTGCAATTACATGCTACACATCGGAGAGTTGGACAGTGAGTAGGGATGATAGAAAGAGAATTGAAGTCATTGAGCTGTGGTGCTGGAGAAAAGTGTTGAATAGACCATGGACTGCTAGGAGAGCAAACAGGTTTGTCCTTCCTGGAAAGGGTGAAGCTGGAATGCTCCTTGAAGTCAAGGATTCTGAAGCTTCGTCTGACAATACTTTGGGCATGTTGCAAGGAGGAACTGGTCCTTGAAGAGGGACATCATGTTTGGGAGAGCAGAGGGACAGCGCAGAAGAGGAAGACCCTCAATGAGATGAATCGATTCTGTGAGTTCAGTGGTGGTAATGAGAGTGTTTGAGACGGCGAGGTTGGCACAGGATAGAATGGCGTTTAGGGCTCTTGTATATAGGGCTGCTATGAGTCACAAACGACTCAATGGCACATAACAACAACAACAATGATGTTAGTTTGAGGACTATGATGTATCTGATTCAGGCCATGGTCCTTCCAGTCATTTTCTATGTATCTAAAAGCTGGACAACAGCAGAAGAAGAACTGATGCCTTTGAGTTGTGTTGTTGGAGAAGAGCACTATACATCCCATGGACTGCCACAAGAACGAACAAATCTCTCTTGGAGAGGGTACAGATGGAATGCACTTTGGAGTTAAGAATGATGAAACGTCACATCACATACTTCAGGCATGTTTCTAGGATGAACTATCTGCTGGAGAGGGACTCAGTATTTAGAAGGGTGAAGGGTTGGTGAAGGAGAGGAAGACCCTCAACCAGGTGGATTGACACGGTGACTGCTGCAATGGGCTCTAGTGTGTAAAGAAGCGTGAAGATAGCACAGGATAGGATGGGGTTCAGATTCATCATTCACAGTGTTTCTATAATTTGTACTTGACTTGACAGCACCTAAATACAACACAACAGCTGCCTATGACCAAAACGTGGTTAAAGTGTCTATATTTTAAGATTATTTTTATTTTTTTTACTTTTAGGAAATTAATGTGAGAAGTTAGATTTCAATTTTGGGAAAATATAATCCTAGTCTCTAAAAGTTTTTTAAAGTAAATTCTATCTATTAACATGAGTAGGATAATAACTCTAATCATATTTTAATTAACTTATGAAAGACATGGGAAGGAAGTTGTTTAGAGAATAAAAAGTCTTTTAAGGAATCTGAGTAATATAATGTCTCTTATTCAATTACCATTTAACTGACCTGTTGGTATATCTGGTATGATCACTACATTTGACACTATCAGTCTGGAACAGTACATTAACAGAGAGCTACCAGAAATACAAGCTTGGTTTAGAAGAGGCCAAGGCACTAGAGAAATTATCACCAATGTCAGATGGATCTTGGCTGAAAGCAAAGAGTGCCAAAGTAATGTCTATCTGTACTTCACTGACTATGCACAGGTGTTTGACTAGGTAGATCACAACAATTGCAGCTAACTTTGAGAAGAATGAGAATCCAAGAACACTTGATTGTGCTCATGTGAAACCTAGACCTGGAGGCAGTTGTCAGAACAAAGGAAGGAAACACTGCATGGTTCAAAATCAGGAAAGGAGTGCATCAAGGATGCATCCTGTCTCCAAACCTTTTCAATCTATGTGCAGAACTGATCATTTGGGAGGCTGGACTTTATGAAGAGGAATGTGGCATCAGGATTGGAGGAAGATTCATCAACAACCTGCATTATGCAGATGATACAACCTTGCTTGCTGAAACTGATGAGAACTTGAAGCTTTGCTGCAGAAGGTCAAGGACTATAGACTTCGATATGGATTGAAGCTCAACATCAAGAAGACAAAGATTCTCACCAGTGGGCCAATCAATTGGCAGTTTCAGAATAGACAGAGAAGATATTGAGGTTGTTAACAATTTCATCTTGCTTGGCTCACAATCAACACTCTTGGCACCAGCAGTCAGGAAATCAAAAGACAAAGCACTGGGGAAGTCAGCTGTCAAGGGACCTCTCCAAAGTGCTAAAGAACAATGATGTCAATCTGGAGACTAAGGTGCACTTGATCCAGGCCATAGTCTTTGCAATTATTGGTTATGCATGAGAGAGCTGGACAATCACTAAGGATGACAGAAGAATTGATGCCTTTGAGTTATGGTGCTGGAGAAGAATACTGAAGATACCATAGACCACTAGGAGAACAAATAGGTCTTTCTTAGGGTGAAAACAATTTTCTCCTTGGAAACTAGGATTTTGAAGCTTGTCTCACATTATTTGGTCATGTGGCCAGACCTTGGAAAAAGACATTATTCTTGGAAGGGTATAGGGATAGTGCAGGAGAGGAAGACCCTGGATGAGATAGATTGACATAGTAACTGGGGTATGGGATCAAGTGTGTTGGAGTCAGTGAGACTGGCTCAAAATAGGGCAGAGTTCAAAACTATTGTACACAGGGTCACTATAAGTTGCAGGCAATTCAACTGCACCTAACAACAGCACAACAGTAATATCTCCAGAAGAAAGATGGGCAATCACTTCTCATGTGATTTATTGCCTCTGAAAACCTCCTGGAGGATTAGTGGCAGGCTAGTTCTGACTCAATTGTATACAACAACAAGAATATTATCAGGGAGCTCTGGTGGCCTACTGGTAAAGAGCTGCACTGCCAACTCAAAGGCCCATGGTCAGAAAACATTTTCTGTTTTATGGGAGAAAGACGGGCAGCCTCCTCCTGTGGAATTGACTGCCTTTGAAAACCTACTGTGTTTAGCCATGGGTCAGGTTCCAACCTGATGGAAAATAACCACAATAATATGATCAGATTTATTCCTTCCTTTGAGTGTTTATCATATTGGATTTTTTTGTATATAAGCTTCTCAATCATCCTGTTTAGTGTCCTTCAATAACATTTTTTTCCTGAGCTCATTAAACAAATATTTTCCTATGGTTCTGTCTTTAAAAACTCTTTAATATATGTTGAATAGCTACTGAATACTCTCCATGTGCATGGAACTATGTTTGTTGAGTGTTAAGGACCCAATGATGAATGACAACAAATATGACTCTTGGTCAAAGGGAGCTTGTGGTCTATATAGGAAAAGAGAACATAAAAAGAAAAAAAAATTCTAAAAGAATGACAAATTTTGGCATGTACTAAGACGGAAAAAACCAGCACACTATTAAGAGCAATTTAATAAGGAGACCAAACCTTGTGTGCAGGAGTCTAGGTATAAAGGTTAAGCACTTTTGGCTGTTAATGGAAAAATTGGTATTTTAATTCACTCAGGTGCTTGTTAGGAGAAAGATCTGGTGATAAGCTTCCACAGAGATTGTTGTTAGGTTCCATGAATTTGAAATCAACTTTAAAAACCCCTATTTGACAGTTGAGAACTGTCCCATTTGGGCTTTCTAGGCTGTAAATGCCATGAGAGTGCTCAACCACTGAACCACCAGGGCTCTTTCTGTAAAGATCACAGTCAAGAAAACCCTATGGGCAATTCTAATTCTACAATTGTCACATGGGATAGTTATGAGTTAGAACTGACTCAGTAGCACCAACAGTAATTATCTCCTCTGGAAGGTAGGGAAAGCAAGCCTCTTGGAGGAAGTGTTGTTAAAGATGTGAAGAAGTCGTAAATGGCACAAATTATGCAGAGATGTTCCCAAGGTGGAAGGGAAGATGATGTCTTGACAGAACTAAGAGAAAGAAATGGCGGAGAGTTAGAGAACTGGAGGGTGGAAGTGGTGTGGGAAGAGGCTGAACATGTAAACTAGCCACATCATAAAAGCCTCCGGGGGGGGCGGAGGGAAGACTCCTATATGCCCAAGGTTTCCATTCTCAGATCAATGCCAAGACCCCACTGACTATTCTAGGTTAAGTACCAACGCTAAACTTCCAACTGCTCACTAAATATCTACACATGGACATTTTTATGTCTCTGCAAACTCAAAACTCATTTTCTTTTATCTGGAATTTTTTTTTCTAGTTTGCATTCTCAGAGCCTAAAATATGCACTTGATTAGCACAGCTCTGAGTAGTAGGAAAAAAATTACTCCCAAATTCTTAGATATCAAGTTCTATAAATACTGAAAACTGTAAGTTAAAAATGAACCACTGCAATTATACATTAAAATACATGACAGCATCATTTTAGAAAAGTGCATAATTTATTACATTTATGAGTTCATAATGGAAAATTGATACTCCAGAACTTTAAAAATTAGATAGGACTAACAATTTGATATAAAATTTTCAAATATTGGAACCTGAAGTATTAGAATTCTAGCATTTTCTTAAAGCCTCATAATTAAGATATTTTGAAAATTGTATTTTTCCAAGAGGTAGAAGGGGAATTAAAAAAATAGACACATTGATGAAGGCAATGATCTCTTCTCAGCTGGCTTTATTCTCCACTGAAGCTCAGTGTAGGATTTTATCCTTTACTTACAGGAAGCTGTCACTGCTCTGTTTTCCAATAACCTTCAAAGCAGAATGGAAAATGCTTATGCAAAATGGCACAAGTCTAACCATTCTCTGAAGGGTTTATCATTTCAGTACACTTCTAGTCCAAAAGCTTCCCCAACACTAAAGTGTTGTGAATGAACGAACTATGAATATTTTTTAAATATTTTCCAGATTCACCATGGAGGCAGCTTTTCTTCTCTGCACTGTAATCACACTGAGCTGCAATTAAAATAAACAATCAGTAAGTAGTTACTTTTTTCTACAGACAAATACAAAGTACAATGCATCACAACTGACAATTATTGAAAGTAATCTCAAGTGCAGTGCATAGGGTCGCTATGAGTCGGAAACGACTCGATGGCACATAACAACAACAACAACAATCTCAAGTGAAAGGGATCTTTAAAAAGACCACGTTTTTAGTACTCATTTTCATTTTACTCTTAAGACTTAAAATGTATTACATAAGGAAGTGTTTCTGAAAAGACACTATGCTATTCCTGAGTTCATGGTAACATACGTAGAATTTCCAAACAGAGATGGACGGAAAACACCTAGAGAAAACTTAGTCAGAAATTATCTAAAACATAAACTACAAGTGGGCCAACAGAATGGAGAGCTCATAAGAAGTCTGATAGGAAAAGAAGATTTAAATATTAATGAGAACTAACACTATATACATACGGTAAAAAAAAATCAAGACAAACAAAACACACAGGGTAACAGAATTCTTCTTCCTTTTGCTTGCCCACATTCCATAGTCCTGTCTCCAGGGTCAAAGTGTGTATTTAGAAATATTCTAAATGAAAATATATGAATATATGTCACAAATGAAACTACTATGCACACTTTATTTGGCTTTTTTCCTTCTAAACAATCTACTTCAAATATAGTTACAAATTGGATGTGAAATAATAACCTATCATTTAATTCACCTGCTCTGGATGGGCACTGATAACTTTAAAAATTATAGACAATGTGGCAATTCCTATTTTTATATTATTCTCTGTACAGTCATGCCTACATGCAAGGGAAAAAATACCATCTGCAGAATAAACTTCTAGAACTACTGAGTCAAAGATTTTACATTTATACATTTTGAATGATACTGCCAAACTGTACTCCAAAAGAGGCTTACCACTGCACACTTATGTCAACAATGTGTGAAAGTATCAGCACAATTCATAATCATACTTGATGATCTGGTAGGTGAAAAGTGATATGTGATTATAGTAAATATGTTGTCTGTCTTATTATAAATGAGGATGAGAAATTTTTAAACTGCTTAAAAGCCATGTATCTATGCAACAATGAATGACTGGAAACCCGAAGTCTCTGTAAACTTTCATTAAAATTAATTTTAAAAAAGGGGGAGGAAGCCATGTATCTATACCTATATTTATGTGTGAATTACCTTGACCTTTTTGCCTACTGTTGTTATCAGGGCTGGCATGTTGACTCTCACTCACTGTAGCCCTATGAACACTGAAATCCTGCCTGATCTGCATTCCCTCAGTTGTGCTTATGCCCATAATTGCAGTGATTGCGTCAACTCATCTCATTGAAGGTCTTCCTTCCTTTGCCTGTTGAGTTGTATGACTTTTCTTGTTGACTTGCACTCTTGATGGGTATTTTAAGTTACGAGCCTTTTGTCATATGAATGAAAATACTTTCTTTGTCATTTTACTACATGACATTTTTATATGTGGCAATATTTATTCATTTCCCCCCCAAATGGCTTCTAGATTTGTATTCTTGTCTAAAAAGACTTCATCTACTGATTTTCAAAAAATGTCATGCTGTCAAAAGAACAAAATGAATTCAATGATTGAATGTGAGGCAATTAATACATTAATTCACTCATTGATGAAGAATGCCTAGAAAAAGTTAATCAGAACAGTCCATCTAGAGTGTTATGGAGTCAGTACAATGGATTGTGATATGCTAACAACAGTATGCTTTTCAGAACTGATCCAGAGTTGATCCTCCAGTGCATTTTCACAGGTGGTAAATCACACAGGAGGAAACTGCCCACCTTTTTCCAACGGAGCAACTGTTGAATTTGAACTACGTGTCTTCGGGTTGGTAGCACAACTCCTTATCACTAAGGCCACCAGAGCTCCCTATGGTAGTGGCTTTTTCCTTAAGGAATTTTACTGCGACTCCAAAGGCCATGTCCCCCTGGCAGATCAAATCCACCAGCAGCTCTGTCGGAGAAAGATGAGCAATCTCCTCCCCGGCAATGCTCAGCCTCAGAAACCCAACTGAGGGTCAGCTATGAGTCAGTTCCAACTCGTGGACAATGACTTTGACCCTACGTGATGGTTAGTCAGACATTCTGGATAACGTGAATTACTTTCAACCCTTAAAAAAAAGTCAAGACCCTTGAAGGACATTATTTTTAGTATCAGCTTCCAATTATTAAAGCAGAATTAGAAAATTAGAAAAGAGGGAAATATTTTAATTCATTAATTAGGCAGTGCTTCTGATTGCTGCAATCCCACCTTTCTCCCCCGCTAATCAGTCCTCATCTTAAACAGCCTTTCTTTCTACTCAACTTATCATGTATCTATTATCTAATTACTAAGAAGGGTTTTTAGAAACTGAGTATATAATTATACGATTGCCATCTTTCTGCTGCAGAGCAGCTGACAGATTTGAATCACATGACTTTGAGTTGATAGCACAATTCCTTACCACTAGGTCACGATAGCTCCCTATATTATTATAATGAAAGTTTTTAGGACCTGGACTCATTTAAACTGGAAAAAAAAATATTAACTCATTCATTCTCATTGCCTTCAAGGTAGTAGTGACTCATAGCTGACCTTTCGGTGAGAGTTCCTGAGACTGTAAATCACAGGGAGGAAAGACTGCCTTTCTTCCTCAGAGGCACTGGTGAACTCGCACGGCCAGGGGGCCACCATTTTCAAGACAGCAGTGCAACCTCATATGAACTATGACACAAGAGCTCTCAAGGGAAACAAATTTTTGTGTATGAGATGAGTCATGACTAGTTCTTTTTCACCTTCCAGTAAGAGCAGAATAGAGAATTAAAGCTTAAGAAAAGATTTATGATTGAAGAAAATCTGGAAAGTGGTTAGTGACACAATATTTTATAAAAAAAAGTTTACTAGAATTTGAAATTCTCATGGACTTTAGACTTCTTAAGATCTATGAAGGTTGGGTGGACCCTGGAAGCATGAATTTCTGATATAATCTTAACATCTCAAATAAAAAATATCCTCTGATGTTTTCCTAAAACAAAGTAATGATTCAGCTTAACTAGTAAAAACTGTCTTCTTTATGTATAATATTCTTTTCTAAGAACTATTCTATGAGATCAAACTAGTTACAGCAATACAGAAGATTACATAAGAACCTTATAGGGCAATACATTTATGCTCATGACAGAATAACACACCCATAAGTGGTATACATAGAAACTGCTGGTCTATGCTTTGCTAGGTTAATTCTGAATATCAAAATAGTTCGGGTTTTTTTTGTTGTTGTTGTTGTTTAATAAAGAGTTTAAACAACAAGAGACAAATCTGTGTTGGGGTAAGTTAAATTCTGTCAAGAGGGAGATTGGATGCTAAATGGATCACGTAATTAAGGCTCTATAACCATACTTTCATCCATAGGACTCAAGATAGTTTTAATTTTTTTTAAAAGAAAATTTATTTTTTAAAAGACATTTTATTTATTGTTGTCCTTATAAAAAGGTGAACCTGAAACTTTATTGTTATACTGAAATTTAGTATCTTAAATATCCCTATAGCTATCTATATACCATTTAATGCTTTAAACATGTTAATATTTGAAGTCCTTCAATAACTATAAGAGGAAAGTAAATGAATTTAAATTAGATATTAGCAAACTAAGATTTATAGAGTTAAAATCAAACAAAGTTACGTGACTAAGTGAATGGCACTAGGCAACTGGCCTGACACCATAACACGAATTCTTTAATCACTGCCCAGGGCCCCTGACTTCTATTATAATTTAAATTAATGAATCAATGAATGAATGATTAATTACTTAAATGACTTGAAAAGCCTATAACTATCCTTAAGAAGGAGAGGGGTAAAAGGACAAATTGCTATCTTTAAGTGCCTTTCAACATTCATACAACAAGTAGATTTTTAAAAAAATCTATATATATATATAATAGCAAAGTTTTATACTTTACCATGAAGAAGTGGTTACAGTAGCTAAAAATCACATTTTGCTCAAAATAATACACATATAACAAAAAAAACTGTAGTCTATTACACAGAGCAACCACTTATCTATTTTGTCAGCCTCCAAAAACCTGTTATGGGAGCAGTTATTAACTTGGTTCTATTCTATTTTTATAATAACGGAACTGGTCTTATTTGTGCCTAATAGGATGGAACATTATTCCTACTTGAGAAAAAATGGCCATTTCATTTACAGATGTGTTTGCACATTATGAGAAGTTATTCTTTAGTATTATCTTGGTGTGTTCTATTGTTTTTAACATGATGTAATTTTATACTATAAATTATACGGTTATATATAAATGGCATTAAATGAATTTATTAATCTGTAAATAAAATTCTTTTTTCCATTAAAAACTACAATGAAATTGAGGCAGTACAACTTAAAATATTACATTTGAAGCAATAATACCTACTTTCAAGTCTCTCAGTAACTACATAGTTTTAGACACAATGTAATTTTTGAGCAATGCTGTCCCACAGAAATTTTTGTGATGAGAGAAATGATCCCCATCTTTACTGATCAACATGGAAGCCATTACTACACAAGACAATTGAGCCTTCAAATGGCTAGTGTGAGCAAGAACCTGAATTTTTAATTTTATTTTACTGAAATTTAAATAGCCACCTTTGGCTAGTGGCTACCATATTGGAAAATATAGTTCGGGACTTAGGTGTCAATTTAGAATATAACACATTTTATTTTTGCTTCTAAGTTTACTTTTTCAACCCAATATTAAAGGGACTAGTTTAAAAGAGTGTAACTGAGTGACAATAACAACTGGTTTTCTGTGAACTTCTGAGGAACTCTTATTTTCTTATCTTTCATCCACTCAGACAAGTTATCCTCTGGAATAATGAGGATGCTCCCTACCTGCTGTGAGGCTGAGGCAGCTCTCTGTTCAGCCTGATTTAGACGATTCTGAAGTCTGTTAGCTTTTTCTTGATGCTCTAGAATTAACTTTTCATTCTATATGGGGAAAAAACATAAAACAAACATGTTAGAAACCATATGCTATACAGCGACATTTTATGCAATAATCAGGGAAAAAGACAGATATCATTTTATCCCTCATACAATGCAAAGATACTTCCAAGTTTATATCTCAAGCTATGAGCTTCTCTAAATCCAAAGATACTCTCACAATCTGATGGCACTGTAATTTTTTCCTACCAAAGAAAATAAATTAATAAATTCAGAAGGAAAGTGATGTTAAATTAGAAAGTAAATTAGAAGTCATGGTAGTAGGGATATTGTAACTGATGTTAGATGGATCTTAGGTGAAAGCAGGGAATGCCAGAGGAGTGTATATCTGTGTTTCATTGATTATGCAAAGGCGTTTGACTGTGTGGATCATAACAAACTGAGGCTGACTCTGAGAAGAATGGGAATCCCAGAACATTTAATCGTGTTAATGCGAAACCTATACTTGGACTAAGAGGCAGTTGTCAGAACAGAGCAGGGTAACACTGCATGGTTCAAAGTTGGGAAGGGTGTAGGCCAGGGATGTGTACTATCTCCATAACTTTTCAACCTGTATTCAGAGCAGATAATCCAAGAGGCTGGGCTCTCTGAGGAGAAGTGTGGCATCAGGATTTGTGGAAGATCTATTAACAATCTGCATTATGCAGATGACACAACCCTGCTTGCTGAAACTGAGGAAGACCTCATGCACTTGCTGCAGAGGGTCAAGGACTGCAGCCTTCAGTATGGACTGAAGCTCAATGTCAAGAAGACAAAGATTCTCACCACTGGACCAATTGGCAGCATCAGGATGGATGGCAAAGAGATTGAGATTGTTCACAGCTTCAGTTTGCTTGGCTCCACAGTCAACACTCTTGGTACCAGCAGCCAGGAAATCAAAAAACGTACTGCGATGGGAAAGTTTGCTGTTAAGGACCTTGTTAAGTACTCAAGAGCAATGGTGTGTCTCTGGGGACTAAGGTATGTCTGATACAGGCCATGGGCTTTGCAATCACTTGTTACGCATCAGAGAGTTAGACAGTGACTAAGGAGGATAGAAGGAGAATTGATGCCTTTGAGCTGTGGTGCTGGAGAAGAGTATTGAATGTACCCTGGACTGCCATGAAAACAAACAGATTCATCTTGGAGAGGGTTTCGTCTGATATACTTTGGACATGTTTTAAGGAGGGACAGGTCCTTGGAGAGGGACATCATGCTTGGAAGGGTGGAGGGACAGCACAGGAGGGGAAGACCCTCTATGAGGTGGATTGATTTAGTGATTGGGGTAATCAGAATGGGTGTGTCAGAGGCAGTGCAACTTGCACAGGATAGAGCAGGGTTTAGGGCTGTTGTACATAGCGTCGCTATGAGTTGCAAACGACTCGATGGCACATAACAACAACAACAACAACAAATTAGAAGTTAAGAAGAAGCCTTGAGATGCAAGATTAGTGCTTCAGAAACACTTCAACTTTTTGTGAAAATACCAGGTCTCACAACCAGGCTTGGATTCAGGAGGACTGAGATGGTTCTTGGAAATCTGTATTTCTCTTAAGTTCCTAGATCATGCTGATGCTCCTGGTTAGAGAACTACTGTGCAGTATCTTGATTTTTTAAAAAGGGTCGTTGTTAGGTACTTTTGAGTCAAGTATGACTCACAGTGATCCTATGATCTGAATCCTGTCCTATCCTGTGCCATCCACACACTCTCTGGTTAAAGAACTACTGTGCAGAATCTTGATTTTTAACAAAGGGTTGTGTTCGGTACTGTTGAGTCAAGTATGACTTACAGTGATCCTATGAACAACAGATCTGAATCCTGTCCTATCCTGTGCCATCCACACACTCTCTGATACCTCAGCCCATGGCAGCAGTCACTGTGTCAATGCATCAGATTAAGGGTCTAAAATGATTTATATGCTCAAAACATTTTTTAAAAAGGAAAAATCTATTTGTATGCATCCACCATTATACTGTACACTCACTCCACTGGTTATTGGGGTCAATAGAACTATTTAACATTATTAAAATAAATTTATTAAAACATGTTGTGAGGTAAGTAAGTTTAAATAATCTATTAATTTAAAAACATATTATCATTTTCCATTCTTAACAGCCTGGTCATCCTGTATCTTAACACATCAGTTACCTTAATTCAGCATGAGATTTGTGCCACAGCTCTAGAAAGAAACATTTATTTGAATTTTTCCTTGATCTGTCTGATTTATTTTTCCATCAGGCCTGATGGCTCCATTTTAATTTGCACAGATATTCCTAAAAAATGCTTTGTGCAACTAGAATTGCTACATTGTTTTTCTAGCATTTTTCTGAATTGAGCAAATAATGTAAGCCAAATCATTAACAGCAAGAAAATACACTTCTCTCAAAAACTAGATAGTTTTGATAATGGGATGTCAGGTTTAGTAATATAAAATATTGAGCTAAAAATGAGCTTATTACATTTATTATATCCAGAAGCCAAAATTAAAGAAGAGCACTCTACTGGCTATTACAATTTACCAAGATGTTTAAATATATACAGGTCTGTGTCACTTAACGTCCATACAGGCAACACACAACCCAATATACATTCATGGTCCCATAAAGATTGTGTGTGTTTTATTTTATACTGGTTTATTTACAAAGTTCAAATACATTTCCTTCCCACTCATCCTCCACCCATCAAATTGTGTGACCCTATGATTAAACCTCCCCCTAACCAGGGAAAGTAGAAATTCTTCTTTTATTACTTCCCCTGTAACAGTTTTAACCCAGACTCCTGTAGTACTGGACCACAGGTGAGATACAGGAAAGTGAGGTAGAGAACATGGCTCTGAGGCTGAGCTCTTGGGCTTCGAGAGCAGTGGATAGTAGTTTTGGGGCTGCAGGGTCTGGGCTTCTCCTGCAACCTTGGAAGAACATCAGGTGGGGCTGGGTGTGTTTCACTGCCTCTTTATCAGCTTCTTCTTGCTCTGTTCCCAACACTGCCCTCTCAGTTACTGCTGTCCGTTTCTTCAGCCTCCACAAGCAAGGGTGTCAGTAGCACCAGATATAAGGATGAGTGAAAGCAGGTGGTTTCCCCCCACTATTTTATTTACTAAATTCTAATATGAATTCGAACAAATCTTTCCATTTCCCTCACCTCCCCCATCAAATTGTACGACCCAATGATTAATCCCCTCTTTCCCCTGCACATCCACATCCCTCTGCTTCCAGTCTCTCCCACCCCTCTTGGATCCTTATACTCCTTGTACAATAATGGTCTTATACAATATTGATCCTTGTGGGACCGAGTTAATTCACTCAGCAGGCCCTCCCAAGTTGGGTAATAATTTACAAAGTTATAGGGTTTTAATATAGTATTTGTACAACATCTGAATCACACAGCATCTTTTTTCACAGAACATATTGTGAACATTAAGCAATGTATACTTGGAGACTTGAATTTTGAGAGGTCCATCAGACACCAAAGAAAATGTAAGGGAAAAAAATGCTATCATTTAGAATTACAAGTTTTAATAGTAAAAGTCAGAATAATGTTATTGTTGTTGAGTCTAGGATGACTCATAGCATCCCTACAAAAAAAAGGCCTGAAGCCTTTCTATAACTACCGTCGTTTCTCAAAGTTCATAGAGTTTTCAATATACTATGGACTGGTAAGAGAACAAACAGATTTGTCCTGGAGAGAGTGAAACCAGGCTGCTCCTTGGAGGCAAGGTTTCTGAAGCTCCATGCGACATACTTTGGGCATGTTGCAAGGAGGGACCAGTCCTTGGAGAGAGATCTCATGCTTGGGAGGGACAGTGCAAGAGAGAAAGACCCTCGAGGAGATGGATCAGTTCAGTTATTGGGGTAATAGAGGTAAGTATGTCAGAGACAGTGAGGGTAGCACAGGATAGAGCAGGGTTTGGGGCTCTTGTACATAGGGTCGCTATGAGTCCAAGAGACTCGACGACACATAACAACAACAACAACAACAACATGTTCTTGTTGTTAGATGCTATTGAGTTGAGTATGACCTATAGCTACCCTATGAACAACAAAAGAGCCCGGCCCTATCCTGTGGCACCCTCACACTTCCTGACACATACAAGCCCATTCTGTCAGTCACCGTGTCAGTCCACCTGGTTGAGGGTCTTTCTCACCTTCGCCAATTCCCTACCTTTCTGAGCATCATGTCTCTCTCCAAGGAACAGCTGCTCCTAGCAACATGCCCAAAGTAGGCATGTGAGGAGAAGCTTTGTCATCTATGTCTCCAGTGAACACTCTGGCTGCACTTTGTCCAAGACTTATTTGTTAGTTTTTTTTTGAAGTCTACAGGATGTTCAGTGTTTTTCTCCAACACCACAGCTTAAAGGCATCAATTCTTCTGACATCCTTATTCATTGTCCAGCTCTCAGATACATTGCAATCAACTGTAAAGACTATGAACTGAATCAGATTCACTTTAGTCCTCAAAGTGACATCGTTACTCCTCAATAATTTAAGTGACATCCTTGCACAGGGGCCAAGCTAATCTTTTCTGTATCATTCCAATTTTAGAATATATGCTGCTAAAGTGAGCATTCCTCAATAATTTGGAGAGGTCCTTCACTGCAGACTTTCCCAGTGCAATAAGTCTCCTGATTCCCTGACTGTTGGTATCAAAGGTATTAAGTGTGGATCCAAGCAGGATGAAGGTGTTGACAGTTTCAATCTTTTCTCCATGCATCATGATGCTGCCTAACAATCAAGTGGTAAGAATTTTTATTTCCTTGACGTTGATATGCAAGCCATAGTGAAGGCTATAGCCTTTGATCTTGTGCTTCAAGTCTTCTTCACTTTGAGCAAGCAAGGTGATGTCATCTGCATAATGCAAGTTACTGATAAGTCTTCTTCTGATCCTGATTTCACATTCCTCTTCATAGAGTCCAGATTCTCAAATAATTTGCTCAGCATACAGACTGAATAGGTATGGAGGAACAATGCAATCAGAACACACTCTCTTCTTAATTTTAAACCATGAA